AGGAAGCTGTCATAACGATTGCATTAGACAGAAACAGGACTGTGGTAACATTGTGTAAGTGCTCACACAAGTCTGCCTTTGTTGTTATCAATATTGTGCTCATGAATTTTTTGGTGCGGTCAGGCCTTTGACATCTTCTGATCTGTCCCTGTGTAGTTGCTTGGCCATTAGGCTTTCCTGATGGTTATTTTCATTTCTTTGTGAGGTACTCATTTGCTTAAAATCAATTCTCCCTGCACTAGGTCACCCATTTACTATGGCTTTGCGTGGGAGGGAGAAAGCTAGAAGGTAAATGTGCAGAGGTGGGGATGACGGGGAGGATGCGGAGAGATGGAGTGAACCTGGCTCTGCTGAATACATATAATCAATAGGTAAAATCAATGCATTCATAAAAGTTACGGGCCCTGTTGTGTGAGCTGTTTTCCATAGCATTGAGAAATGCATGTCTTTCCTTCTCCCCTTTCTTGGGGCCAGGATATATCCCAGTAGCACCCTCAAAAGAAGAGCATCCTCCAGGTGTAGAAGATTACATCGTTTCTTTATTGTCTCTATCTTCCATCCAAGGGATGTTTGGGCATTAAAATCTCTAAATGAAACCTGGGAGCTGCTTTGCTTCTAAGAAGAGAGGGCAATACATACACGGGGCTGTATTTTCTGGTATCATCAGTATTTATTGCATTCCTGCTGTGTAACATACGATATGGACTCGGTAGCAGGCGAGGGAGACCCTGCCCTGTGCTGCTGAGTGGTGTGAGAGGGACATCAAGCAGTTCTGCATCTGTGACAAGGATCTTTGGATAGTAGAGTTCAAGGGAACCTTTTCTGGGAACTTGGAGTGAAGGTGTAGCCTGTGTGGGGCGGCAGCTGGCCAGGAGAAGGGCAGGCAAGGAGGAGAGAGCTCCCAGGGAGCCTCCTGGAGAGGCTCTGTGGTCAAGCGGCAGGGACAGGTGATCAGAAGAGTAGCTGGGCAGGGGGGGGCATGTTTTGCTGGATGTGGGGACAAAGGAAGGGAGCAGGTTTGACTAGAGGATGTAGCTCAAGTGTTTGATTTGGGACACATTCAGTTCAACCTACCAGAGGCAGCAAAATGCAGGTGTCAGGTACCAGGTAGACGTATGACTTTTCAGCTAGGAATGGATTCAGGTCGATGAGAAGGCAGGATTTATAGGAACCTGTCACATCAGAGCCCAGGGAGTGGTTGGCATCTTGAAAGGCGCTATGCTGGAACTTTCTGTGGCAAGGCCATCTCTCTCTCTTTTTCTGTGACCTTCACAGTCATCTAGTCTTTTCATGCCCCCTCTCCTTGGCATAAAATGGTGACAGTTATGTTTGCTACAGGAGCACATGTTTGTGGACCCATTAAACTGGAAATAAAACATGTGGGGCTCTTGGAAAATAAGAACTATGTTAAAACAAGGAGTTATTATGGTTGTGCATAAGCCATTGAAAAGCAGAAATACAGCCCCAAGGCTCAGTATCGATCTTGGTCCCCCGTGCTTCCTGCAGCCAAATAAATCTGATGTTCCTCGCAAGTGCTGGCTGAGCGGATGGCAGGTCTCCAGCTTCCAGCTTTCCCACCCTGCCCCAAGGTTACGTCCTTTCTTGGCTCAGGCCGGCTCCCCACCCCTGCCCAGCTGCTGGCTGCCCTTCCCACTCACGCTGCTTACAGGGAAGACTCAGTTGTGAGGTTGGACCTTGGCCAAAAGTGGATGCCCTTTGATTAAACCAGGGACAAGACCTCCCAGAAAAGCAGAGAACAGCTCTGCAGAACAAGATATTTAAGGAGTGAGGCCGCCAAAGCAAATGCTCAGGCAGTTAAGGGCTTCAAACTTTAGGATGCAGGAAGGGTCCTGAAATGTGTTTCCCTCATCCATCCATCGGCTTGCTGGATAAATATTTACTGAGTATCCCCTAAATGTTAGGCTCTGTGATCAGTCCTCTTTGAATTAATATCTGAATTGAGTAAAAGAGAAATAAGCAAAAAAACAAAACACTCTTAAGGGAACAGCCAGGAGCAACAGTAGACAGCCAGGGAATTCCAGAGGCAGTGGGGCGTGGCTGTGTTAGATGAAGCAGTCAGGGAAGGTTCCCCGAGATGGTGACATCTGAGTTGAGATCTGGCAGCCAAAAATGAGCTGGTCTGTGATGAGTAGGGGAAAGGACACTCTGGGAGGAAGACCCAGCAGGGTGGAGGGCCTGAGGTAGGTTGACAGGAACAAGAGACTAGGGAGCTGAGGGGACAAATGGGGCAGTGCTTTATCCATCGTGGGAAAGAGTCCAGGTTTTGGTCTTGGTGTCAAAGAGATTTTATGTAAGATGGGAGATTCCATTTGCAAAGCATTTCTCTGACCCTTGAGTGGATAATGGGCTGCAGAAGAAAGGCAAGGACCAAGATAACCAGTAAGCAGGCTACTGTAGTCCTCTGGGTGAGAAGCGGTGGTGGCAGAGGCTCAGAAACATGTTGGGGAAGAGAGAGTCCCATTGGAGTGGGTATGATTGTTGAGGGTGCATGAAATGGGTACATCCATGGGCATTTGGAACTGGCATGGACCAGCTCACTGTAAGATGGGAAAGGGTAAACAAGTGGAGGAACAGAAGTTGACCCACAGGCTTTTGTCTGAGGCAGCCATGTGCTTAGGGACAGGTTTATTATGGAGCACAGGTGCTGAGAGAAATCCTGATACTGTCTGACATACCTGTGGCATCCTGAGATGTCATTATGAGCAGAAAGAAGTCCTCAGTCACTTGTGGGCTGGGATTATTCCTGGCCACTGAGTACAGGGCTGGGTGTGAGCTTCCGTGGAAAGGCAGGTTGTGTGGGGGCCTGAACTCACGCCCTAAGAAGTGCTGGTATATACACAGGAATGGCTAGTGGGGGACAGGGAAGGAAGGAGGGATTGTGCCTCCAGAGCCCACTGTTTAGAGACCAATCAGGGAGGCTGCTGATGTGATAAGTCATAATGGCCAGTGAGACTGAAAGGCAGATTAGAGTGGCTGGGGAATACATCAAGATAAGGGGGTAAAACATCTGGGGACAACTCTTTTGGAAGCTTTGCTGGCAAATTGGGCAGAGCAATGTGGAAATGCTGCTTGCCTAGATTTTTACAAACATAAGGAACATTATCTTCCTCGCTTATAAGCGTCTCTCCAGTTCTGATACACCAGGACTTGATGTTGAATATCTACACTATTCCTATGGTAAACTTTGGCTGATGTACAGTCCTGAAAATGACAGCTGTGGTTTTTCTTTCCTTTCTCTTTCAAGAAAGCTTCCAGGCTTACACATCAGTCGAGGGTAAAACTGGGATCTACCCCCCCCCCCGGGGGCTCTGTTAATATTTTTAAGAAAAGTCAGAATCCAAGTACTACATACCACACACAAGCAAATGATTGCAGCATAGTTCACCACTGACCACATCCCATGTTACTATTCACTGAGAAGTGTGGTTCAGACTTGGTTGGGTGCCATCTATCCATCCACTATTCACTCGCTTATTCACAGTGAGTATTGTGGGAGCCCTTATTTGTTAGAAGCTTGAGCCCCAGAGACTGGGGAGCTGCTGTGTACAAGACAGACAGCCTCTGCCTTCACAGAGTTCCAGCATGGGGAGGACAGACATGAAACAAGCAACCTCCAGTGCAGGAGCAGGGAGCTCTCAGGGACAGAGTCACTGGTCCATGGGCTCAAGTTGGGCTGGACATTGGCCATGGCCAAAGTGAGGGAGCCATGTTGGAGGTGGCTTATCTTCACTGGAGAGGACTGGGAAGTGAGGCCAGGTGAAATGAATGCAGTCACAGGTAGCTAGGGGTGGGAGATGCAGGGGGCCCAGGGCTGCAGCCAGGAGCCAGGGGTTACTCAGGAAAGCACTGTGAAGTGCTCTGAGCTTGTGCTGGACATGGTGGTAGTCAGATTTGCTCTATACAAGCACTGGTGCCTGTGGAGTGGGCCACATTTGCATGTCAAAGATGGCAATAGGGCCTCCTGGTCTCTGATAGGGAAAGCATTAAGTCCCTTTAAGCTCTATTTGATGGAACATGGCTGAGCACAGTGAAGGAGTTGGGGGCTGGGGTCCAGCTCTGAAGCCTGCTCCAGCTCTCCTCTCTTCTTTCCTGTGCATCTAAGAAAATGCAACAGGTTAGTTTTAGGGCCATTTTTCATGGGATGGGGATGGAAACAGAGGCCAAACATATTCAGATAGTTATTGTGAGCACAAATGACAGAAATGAAGGCTACAGGGTCCATGCCAGCTGCCAGGAGCGGCCGTGGTATGGGGCAGATTGCAGAGATGCAGGTGGAGTATGCCCTAGGAAGGTAGTATAGAAATCCACTCAAAATGTGTGCTGTGTGGAAGGCATCTGGGGACTCTTGAGTCAGGCACATGGTACACTCCTGCAATCCCAGCTATTCAGGGAAGCTGAGGCAGGGGGGTTGCAATTCTGAGGGCAGGCTGGGAAATTTAGCAAACCATGTTTCAAATGAAAAGTGAAAAGGGCTGGGGGGTAGCTCAGTGGCACATCACCTCCCGAGGGTGCAGGAGGCCTTGAGTTTGTTCGATTCTCAGTACAGCAACAACCATAGTAAAGATTCTTGGAGCTCATGCCGATTTGCTAGCCCTGGGGGCTCGAGGGGGGCTTTGCAAAACTGGCGAGACCACCCTTAAGCTCGCAAAAACCCAGGCAGGCAGCGCGTCCCTATTTCTCTGTCCAGTTTGGCTGGCTGCCAAATGTCTCCAAAGTCTTCCTTAGATGTCTGCATTTCTAAGAATATCTCTTCCCCAACATGTTTCTGAGCCGGGTAGGCTGAGGACATAGCTTCCGCGAACGTCTCAACGGCGGGAGGCTCCTTGCTTCGCAGCCTCGGTTCCTCCAGCTTTTTGCACCAGCCTGCAGGAGTGTAAATAACTCCCTTCAGGACCCGGACTTCAGGCTGCCCTGGCGGGCCGCACAGCAGCCCGTGGCCGCCAGGGGACGCCAGAGGCCTCGGCTCGCGCGCTCGGGCTCCTCCGCCCGCGGACGCCGCACCCGAGCCGCGGAGCCGGGCGAGCCAGAGCGCTGCGGGCTCACAAAGCGGCCGGACGCGGCGGCGGCGGGCGGAGGAGCGTGGGGCAGCCAGCCGCGATCAGCTTTCTCGGCGGCTGCGCCACAGGAGCTCAAGCAACTCGGACGCGGGGACCCGCGCCGGCCCCCAAGGTACGTGCGCCGCAGACCCTGCGCCCCAACTTGGCGTAGTTGGGACCTCGCCTGGGGCGCCCGCGGGCCGGCAGGTCGGAGCCTGGGGTGATCTCCGCGCCCTTCTCGTGGATCTCCCTGGCCGGGCGAGCAAGGAAACCTATTGCTCATCCGGGGACGGGGCCCCCGGGAGCGGGCACCGCCGGCGTCCGTGTTGCCGAGCCTCGGCTGCAGCCCCAGCCCTGTCCTCCCCTCCTGCCCGAGCCGTGGGCACCGTCGACGGGCGCGCGGCCGGGTCAGGATCCCGGGAGCTAGGATTTGGCGGAGGGGTGCTGACCCCCCCATCTGATCTGATCCAAGGGTCGAGCTCGCGGGCGCCCGGGGAGCGGGCGCGCGGGGTCCCGTGCAGTGGACAGCGCCCCCCCGCTGGCGACCCAGCCTCCGGTTCCAGCTCAGCCCCCTGCGAGAGCGGCTCCTGTGGTCTCCGGGTCCGCGCGCGCTCCAGGTGTGCCGGGGTCCCTGGCCCCGCCGCGACCCCCGCCCCGACCGCTGGGGCCGGGCCGGCCGAGGACCCCCGCCCCGCTCACGCCCCTGGCCCCTGCCCGCCCGCAGATGCCCGCGATCGCCGTGCTGGCCGCGGCCGCCGCCGCGTGCTGCTTCCTGCAAGTGGAGAGCCGGCACCTGGACGCGTTCACCCGAGGCGCGGGCCTCAACAACGGCAATTTCCTGGACAATGACCAGTGGCTGAGCACCGTCTCCCAGTACGACAGGGACAAGTACTGGAACCGCTTCAGAGACGTGAGTACCGCTGCTCCCGCGCGGCGGGGCAGGGCGGGGCGGGGCGGGGTGGGGTGTGGTGGGTCTCCAGGAGCTGGCCCGGGAGGGAGGCCAGGCAGGAGGCGCTGGGGCACAGCTGCCGGGTGTTGGGGTTGGGGCGTCTCGCTGGAGAGGAAGTTAAGCGAACTTCGCAGGCTCTATCCTCTTGCCTGTTACCTGCGGTCCAGGTGCACCATATTTGCAGGAGGGGAGGCAAGGGGTCCCCTAAAATCTAGCAGGAGCCGCGAACAGCAGATGGGAAGGACGCTTCCTAAGCTTCTGAGGTCTCCTGATGGGAATGACTGACTGCCAAAGCCCAGGTAGAAGCTCATGGGGCTGCAGCGCTCCGGGACCTCCTCTGGGACCTGTCAAAAGCATCACTATAGGAAAGGTTCACTTTGGGGCCCCCGGCTTATTTATTAGGGATTAAGGCATTGCAAGGGTCTGAGCAGGTGGGATGGGTGTCATTACCATGGGTTGATGAAATCTTAGGGAGAATCTGGCAGTTTTGACCCTTGGAGTCTTTAGGGGAGAGGGAAAGGGAACAGGTGGCCCTCGGAGTTTATCCCCTGTCCTGAAGAACAACCCTGGTGGTGGTGGTGGTGGGGGGGGGGGGAGAAACTATTGCTGGACTCCTGAGCTGCGTGTTTCTGCTCCTGGGCTGCTCGCCATTTCCCAGGTGTGTGCCTCTGAAGATGTGGGGGCAAGAGGCCCCTGGAGCCAGCTTCCCAGAAGATGGCATCCAGAACTGCTGCTGGGGCCACACCTTCCAGAGGATTTGGAAGTGTGATATCTTACCGTACTTAACATTAGGGATTCGTGTCCTTGTGATGTTTTAAACGTTGTAAAAATGTCCAAGCTTAACCAGAAAAAAATCTTTTGTGTCATGTGCATTGCTATCCTGTTTTATTGGGCCAATTTTTAGGGATGCACTAACACGCTGGCAGCATACATTTTAAAAAGAATGACACCTTGATCTAATCACACAAAGCTTCTTGTTCTTGTCATAGGACATGGTTTTTCGGTTCTATGAGGTGGGAGATGAGTGAGGATTCTTCTCTGGGTCCCTCATAGTCCTATTCCCAATCTCCCAGGCTCCAGGGCCGTGGGAGAGTCTGAGGCATTGAATGTCTGTCAGGTTTCCTTGTGCTTTTAAAGGACAATCTCTCCCAGTCCACTTCCAGAAGACAGATGTGTCCATAGTCTTTAGTAGGGGCTTGCTTATCTCTCTTTTATTCCTCTTCCACCTCTTCTTTGTGTGTGGTGGGCTGCTTTTCCTGGAAAGGGGCTTCCACGTTCGTTCATTGAACTTCCACAGTTATTTGGTGCCTTATTTTACAGCAGATGCACCCCCTACAGCCCCCTCTCCCCGCTAGGGTGCGCCTCTGTCACCATGTCCCTGACCTGCTGTTAAGCTGTTCTGGTCCCCTCTCTGCTCAGATCCGAGGGACTCTGCATGAACTGCCTTTGCCTGTGACTGAAATTGATGCCTAAACCCTGAGGCTTCTATTCATAGACTCACCTAAGGTGGAAGTGACTGCTATTTTACCATCACAGTTTTGATAGAGTTGAGGGAAGGACAGATGCTAAGCTCTGCTAGAAATGGGCAGATGGAGCCATGTCTGGAACAGGTGAAGAGCGACCTTCCCGGGTGCCTTGTGCTCAGGGCAGAGGGCGGGATGGGAAACACGTGTGCCGCTGGACCCTGGGTTGACTGCTTTCACATCTGCTGAAGGTTTGTATGCCCGTGTATCAGAAGTGTGATATCCTTCATTCCCACTTAGCTTTAAATTTTTTAAAAATTGGCTTTCCCTTCATTTCTTATGCTCCTTATGGCTGATGCTGACATTTTTATCCTTGGTTCAATGCTTTTTTTTTTTTTTCCAAACCTGACAGATGATGAAACCTACCTTGGGTGCTTGCTAAATTACAGCGCCCACACTCCTCCCCTGGAGATTCTGATTCCATATTTCTGGAGTGAGAGCAAGGTGGAATCCACATTTTAAATAAACATACTTGGCAATTCTTATGTCTAGGAAATACTACCTTAGATATTGTAATGTATATAGCTCCAAGACTTAACAACAAGAAGAGAATAGCTTTTAAATTCAAGTTTATTGCTTTTTGTTTCTGAAATAGTTTTAAGTATTAAACTAATACTTTCACAGCCGAGTTTATAAAAACAATAATTTGATCCAGAGTACCGATGAGAATATCTAATAATATTCAAAAACTATCCTAGACCTGTTCAGGCACCAACCATTTTATATATTTCATGGTGTCCTCTAAAATCAGCAGTATCTCAGGCATAATTTAATGCCATTAACCTCTTCGAAGTGTGTGAAGCTCAGAGTAGATATACCTTAAAGGCAAGTCCCCTTGTCTTCAGTTGGGCCATTTATTTGGAACAACCACAAAGCCAGAGTCCACTGGGGCCAGAGAGTGAAAGATTGCTTTCTTTAGAAACAGGCTACTCAGTGGGCAGCAGACAAGGTGCCAGCTTGCGTTGCATTTGCTCAGCCAGCCTGATCATTCTCATGGAGCCAGGTTTTTGCTGAAGTGTGACAAAGCCCCAACTTCTTTGCTATTGTTTAGGGGTTTCTTTGTTTTGTTTTATATTTTAAAGCCTCTGACAACCTTGAAGGGCCATCCATGTCCTGAGCTTACTGTTACAGTGCTTATCAGTTTTTGAAATTCAGCGTGAAAGAAAACTTCTTGCATCCCTCTCAACTTGTCACTTGTTGGACGTGGGAGACAGAAGTTTAGGAATGATTTTTGGGCTCTGGAAATGGAAAGTCAAGAGCTCCTCGTAGAGCGGTGACTGGCCAATTGTGAAATGGGTCCCATGGGGAGGTGTGAGCTGTGCTCCCTTGACTGTGGGGTGTGCTAGGGTGTTGCCTAAGCCGGCCTGGCAGCCTCTGCTCACTGCTTTGAATACATCGTATTACTCTGGGTGCAAAATAGTCACTGTGCCTATACAGAAGTGAAACCTTCAGACCTACTTCAGAGTGGGTTGCCTATATTTATGGATCCAAGAGAAGCATTCAGATGGTTGGTCCTGAATGCATTTGTGATCTGTTATTTGGTTATTATTCTTTCATAAGGACTAACAATTCTGATGTTTTAGACAGGTGAGGCCTGGACTTTTGCACCGATACAATACCAAGAAGGAGGAGACATAGAAGTTAATGCTTGCAGTGTCTGTGTTAAGTTGTGCAATGACTTCTCATCTTCAGCTGTTGTATACTTCTCCATGGTTTGAGGACAAGATCATAGGTGTGATGTGGCTTTTTTGTTGGTTTGACTTTTGAGACAGGGACTCTATGTAGTTCAGGCTGGCCTCAAAACTCAGGGTAATCTTCTTCCCTCAGCCGCGAAAGTGCTGGGACTACAGGCGTGCACCACCATGCCTGGCATGATATGGCTTTGGATGACCATTATTAGAGGGGAATTTACTCTGTTAATTCTTATATTCATTTATTCTAGCAAATATTTGATTGCCTATGTGCTAGGCACTGCACTATAAAGGTGAACAGAATTAATGCATTTTGTCATGTAACCTCTTGTCTGCTGTTTATGCTGGCACACATTTCTTTATTATCTTTGTTTTTAAAAATATATTTATTTATAAAGCTAATTTATGTTGGTTGTAATTAACAAATGAAAGCATTGGAGAAATAGATCATAGCTAACACTTATGGGTACTTAGTATGTCACAAATTGTGTAAGCTACTTTTCCTGTATCATTTCACTTAATACTCCTAACAGTCCTATGAAAGAAGTACTGCTACTAGCCTTCCGTCCTTACTGGGAGGTTTAACACACCTTACCAGAATTAGAGTGTAGAGACCCAGAGCTGGGGTGAGGAAGGGCCTGAGTGTTGCAGCCAGTCAAGGGCTGAGTGATTTCGAGTGTGAGCTTGAAATGCAAACACACGGCAAGTTCCCTGCTTAATTCCTGATGGCAATCAAGCAAGGAACCCTAGCTTTCAGACAGAATAGGAAACCAGGTGAACTCGGCTTATTGGGGAGGTCATGTCAGGTCTTACCTTCTCTTAATAATGAGCTTCTGATTTGATGAAAATAATATTGTTGCTTACACTAAACATGACATTTTCTTCCTTTTGCATGCATGAAACTAGCCCTGACATTTAACGCCAGGATAATTACCTTTAGCAGGCTCAAAGAATCCGAAGTGTTGCCTTGGCTGGCATTTATCTTATTCCTGAGTGGCCTGGGTTTGTGATCCTAATGAGCGCTCGAGGACCAGCCCTTATTCTCCTTCTTAATGGTGTATATGCTGTGGAATTTGGTGGTCTCTGTCTCAGAACCAGGTTGGCTGTGAGCATTGGGTCTGCTCGTTTGATCTTAGTATCTCAGCTATAATGAGTTTCAAGGGCAGATAGGACTTATTGATAGAACACAGCCTGGCTCAGTGGGTAGGCCTGGTGACAGGGAGGGGCAGGGCTTAGGGGATCAGTCATCAATCTATCACCGCTGAAACTCGGCTTGTAATGGAGAGCAGCAGAAAATCATTTTGATTAAACCAGTTCAAGGAGACTTAAATGAGTTTGTGATCCTGACTCTCTTTAATGAAGCCCCTATCTTAAATCCTGTGCACCAGATGACCACTGATAGAAATAATTATTTCACAAGGATCATTGTAAAGGAGCAGTTTAAATGTTAATGGGCCCAAGACCCTTGTCTGCTCCATCTCACTTCAGCTTGCCCTTCTAAGGACCCTAGGTCTTGCCAGGCAGGCCTGGTGGAGTTTTTTTTTTTTTGCCCCTGATGACCTTTCTAGGTCATGTTCTCCTGCTCTGCTGGGTCTTCCCAGCCCTGGCCCACAGATTTTCATTTGGACCACAGTGCTGTGAGGGTGAACACTCCGCTAGATGCTGATGAGGCTGTTTTCAGAACCAAAGAAGTGGCTTCCGGTGGGATAATTGGACCTATAATGTTCCTCTAGAGGAAAGGGACCTA